CCTGCTCTGAGACCCCGCAGGCCCCTGGGGGTTCAGGGCCCGGCTTCTGCATGCCTAGACAGAACGTGGTCTGCAGCCCCTGGCTTGAGCACCCAGGGTCTTCTCCAAGGGACTTTCTGTGCCCAGCGGCTGCCAGTAATCAAGGCCACGCCCTGCCGGACCCGCGGAGGGGTCTGCATCCCACGGGTCCCTCACTCCTACAGCGGCCCCTAAAGTTTAAAGGATCATCCCGGATCCCCAAGGCTGCACCAGCCCCGGAGTGGGGGGTGCGGTCAATTCCGGTGGCCTTGCTGGTCCTTCGGCGTCGGCTTCCGGTGACCCGGAGCCCATGGGGTGCCCCTCTGATGGACAGGCCCGGGCCCCCCCCAGCACAGCAGCCCCTGCCGCCTGCGAGGGCAGCCATCCCGATCCACCCGGGCGTCCCTCCAGCTGCCCGTGCTGGAGCGACTTTGGAAGTGATATTTGACCCAAGGGCGCGCCGGATCGATCCGCGCGGCCGCAGACAATGGCCCCTGGACGCCGCCAGCCCCGCGGTGCGACTTGCACTTCTGATTCCCGCGGGGTATCGCGCGCGAGGGCACCCACGAGAAAGGGGGCCCTGGGGGTTGGAAAGGGTGTCCCCACTCCTGACATCACCCACGAGCCCTCCCCGCGCGGCAGAACCAGCTCTCCAGGGCAGGAGAGAAGCAAAGACCACCTGCGGGGGGGTCTGCACGCATGCATCGCCAACTGTATACCGGATCGCAGCCGGGGCCGGGAAGCGGGTGCGGGGAAGGTCAGCGCCAGGCCCAAGGTGACCGGGCAGGTCCGGGCCGGCCCAGTGGCCGCGCGTGGGGCTCACCGGCAGGTGTAGCTGAGGTTGCGGCGGATGCTGCGCTTGAAGAAACTCTTGCAGCCCTCGCAGGTGAACACGCCGTAGTGCTTGCCGCTGGACTTGTCCCCGCACACCACGCAGTCCACCTGCAGCCCCGGGCGCTCCTCGTCGCCCGGCTCCGCGTCGCTGGCCACCCCGGGAGGCGACGCCGAGTCGTCCTCGGTCGCGCGTGGGTAGCTCCCTCCGGCCTTGTCCACGCCATTCGTGTCGCCTCCGGGGTCGCCCCAGCCACTGGTCACCATGGCCATAGCCCCCGGGACGGCGGGGCTGGGGCGCCCCGGGGCGAGTCCGTCCCCTCCGGGCTCACCTGGCGACCCGAGGGGGACCCGGCTACCCCGTGCGCATGCAGCCCGCGCGCTCGGGGGGCTCGGGTCGCACCCCCCGGAAAAAGTTTTGCGGCAACTTCCTGCGGTCGGTCCGCGCGCCCGGCAGGAACTGGTCGGGCCGGTTCCAGGCCAACTTTCCCACGCGTGCCCGCGGCCGACGGGGGCGCGCTAGAGGCGCGGGTCTGGGGCACCCGGGTCCCGTGGTCCAGAGTCCTGGGGACCCGGTGGGGACGCGCGGGCCATGGCCCGGCCCCGCCGCCCAGGCCAACTTAGTGGCTCGCCATCCGAGGGCGCACGCGCGCCCCCGAGTCCGGGGGGGAAACTTTGGCCGCAAGTTGCGCGGCGAGGGGGAGGGGCGGCGGGAGCGCGCGCCGGAGCCCCGGAGTCCCGGACGCCGCGCGACGCCGGCCGCAATCGCGGAGGTCCGGGCGACGGAGCCGAGCCGGGAGCACGGCCCGCGGCCTCCTCCGACTCCTGTCCCCGCCGAGCGCGCGCGTGGCCGGACTGGGCCTGCGCCTGGGCCCGAGCCTCGGCCTCGCCCTGGCGCTCGCCGCCGGCCCCGCGCTGCGGCCGGCCTGACACCCGCGTTCCATCGGCGCCGGCGGGGGCGGGGCGGGGGCGCGCGGCGCGGCCGGGGGCGGGCGCTCGTTGCCCCGGCGACGGCCGTCCTTATAAGGGCATGGGGTAGCCGCGCGCCACCCGGAGCCGTGGGCCGGCGAGAGGGCGGGGCGGGGCGCGCGGCTGACCCTCCCCCACGCGGCCGCGCAGCCTTAACCCCTGCGCGCCCTGCCCGGGGCCTCTGCCCGCTCCGCGCCGCTCCTCGCAGCCGCGCCCCCGGGGACAGCTGCACCCGGCACGCCCCCGCCGCACACGCGCGCGCCCCGCATGGCTCCGCACGGCTGCCGCCTGGAACCGGCCGCCCCCGCTCCCCACAGTCTCCGGGGCCGGTCCGCCCCCGCCCCGCGCGCCCCGCGCCGGTGAACACCTGGTGCCCCGAGTCTGGGGCGGGGGCGCGCGGCCTCCCGAGGCCGCGGGCGGGGACAGAGAGGCCGGACCCCGACGCCCGCCGGCGTGGCTCCAGGCGGCCGGCCGGAAGGCGTGCCAGCCCCTGGCCGTTGTCCCCGTCCCCCTTCATTTCCTTTTCTTTCTCTGCTTCACAGAAAGGGCTCGGCCTGGTGACCGGCTGGGCCACAGATGTCTCCCCCCACTCCCGGGAGCCTCCCAGCTGCCGCCACGCCCCTGAGTCTCCCGCCCCCTCTCCAGACCCAAGTTCTACTGGAGCCAGCGTTTATTAAGCACCCTTTGTATGCAGCACACATCCAGGGCAAGCATTTACTGAGGCTTAGGTGGGGAGCTGAGGCCTGACTCCAGGTCTGTTAACGTTTAACCCGTTAGCCGGCTGGAAAAGCCACTCCCGGGTGACCTTTCACCCCTGAGTCACGGTTCTGCCTCCTGCGCCGGCCTGGGTCGGTGTGGACACTAGGGCATGTGGCCTATGGGGACTTCCTGTGCCCTCTCCAGCTCCATTCTGCCCCTGAGGGGCCTTGTGAAGATCATCCCACAAGATGTGACCATACATGGGGGGGCTTTAAAGGAAAAGTGAGCTTCAGGCTCCTGCCTGCCAGCGGCACCCGCCCTGCACCGAGAATAATGCCAGGGTACCATGTGAGATCCAAATACAGAAAGCAGGAAGGACCAGGGCTAGACTCAAGCGAGGACTTCCCAGAAATCTGATTGGAACAAGGTCTGCTTTAGTGGGAACTGAAGCCTGGCTGCGCGCAGGAGATTCACTAGTTCTGTGGTCATAGTTGGTTATTTGGGGGTGAGGACGGGTCCTAGACTGGACTGTTCTAGAATCTTTGGTGACAGTATCAGATTAAGGGGGGGAGCTCAGGAGGAAAAGTAGGGTTCTGAAGGACTGGGTGACAGAGTACCCGGATTTGGGGAGACGACGGAAGGGAGAGTTCGGGGAGAAGTGAGTTCAGCATCCCGCCCCTGCCTGATATCCCCACCACTCCCACTCCTGGGGCCCCACTAAGGGTGGGCAGGGCCTCGCCACGCCCCCATAACCCCTGCCCGTGGCCCCGAGGTGACATTTGACCTTGTGGCTGCTAAGGACCTGAGGACAAAGACGCAGGGCCCATCTGCCGCTGGGCCGCCCGTGGGAACAGCCAGACACTATTCGAGCAGCCTGGGAACCTGCCCCCCCCCCTCCTGACATGCGACCTTGGCTGGCCACTGGCGATCCGGTGGCTAAAGGCCAAACTCAAACTCGTAGCCGATTCAGCGGGCAAAGGTGCTTGCAGCCAAGCCTGGATTCGATTCCAGGGACCGGCACGGTGGCATGGTAGACCCAGAGACTTGTAGGAAGGCAGGGTAGTGAAAGAGGAAGCTGCCCCCCAACACACCCCACACCGGCAAGGAGAGCTGCCTCCCAGCCCACAGAGAGCGGGGACACACGGGTCCCAGCCCCCTGACCGCCTCAGCTTTGGCTCGAGCTGCTTTGGGCCACTGTGGCTGCCCCTGCAGGCAGGCACTGTTTCAGCACATCTGCACAGGTGTGGCCTGCAGGGCCCCCCTCCAGGCTAATCCTGCTCTAGGGTTTCAGCCTGGAGGGGACAGCTGGACCCCTTCCCAGCCCCCACTGCGAGGGGTGTGGCCCATACACTATTACACACAGGAGACACTCCCGGAGGAGCCCCTGTTGGAAGCCCCGACCTCCTCTCCCCACAAGAACAGAGTGGCAATGTCGGTTGTGACAGCTAACCCCACTCAGAGGAACTCCACCATAGCTACACTAAATTTTTTACTTTTACTATTTTAACTATGTGTATGTGTGTGGATGCCCTAGGAGGCCCCAGGCGCCACCAGACCCGGGTTTGGGAACCTAAGTCGGGTCTTCCGCTAGAGCAGTAAATGCTCTAAACTGCTGAGCCATCTCTCCACGTGCCCAAATAAAAAGGACACACAGTGCTTTTGTGTGGAGGCCAGAAGACAGCTCTGTGGAGTTCATGCTGCCCACCTTTGTGGGGGTTCTGGGAACTGATCTCAAATCGCCACACTCAGCAGCAAGCACCTTTACCCAAGAAGCCACCTCTCGGCCCATTTTAGTTTTATTGCTTATTTATTCACCTATAATTTTCTGTTTTTTATGGGTGTGTGTGTGTGTGTGTGTGTGGCTTGCTTGCATTGGTGTCTGTGCACCACGTGCACGCCTGATGCCCACAGAGGCCGGAAAGGGGCGTGGGATCCCGAGACCTGCAGGTCCAGACAGTTGTGAGACATCGTGGAGCCCACGTCAGGTCCTCGGCGAGAGCAGCCAGGGCTCTTAAACACTTTGCCCTCTCTCCAGCCCCTCATTCACTCGGTTTTTAGACGCTGTGTCATGTAGCCCAGGTTGGCTTAAATTCACTACGTAGTCAAGGATGGCCTAGAACCCTGGGCGCCGGCAGTGCAGGCAGGCGCAGACTTCCTGTGTGCGGTGCCGGGGAAGGAACTCGGGGCCTTGCGCATGCTTGGCAGGCCCCTTTCCCACGGGGCCCAGCCTCTGCGCTCTGCGAAGCTCCCCCATGCTGGGCGAGGGCTGCAGACAGGAGCCCAGGCCCCCTCAGCACGGGCTGGCGGGCAGAGACAGAATGTGACCTCCGCTGAGTCTGGGGTCCCCTCCCCGGCACTCCTGGGGAGCAGGCCGCCACCCACACCTCCAGCTTGAGCCGGCCCCGTCCGTCCCTTTGAGGAAGACACTGGCCAAACCCGGCGCCTCCTCAGGAGGTCCGGACACGAGGGACAAAGCACGGTGGTTCGACGTCACGACAGCGCACTTCTGTTTAATCACGAGTGTGCGCATGTGTGCATTGCTGCAGAGGCCGGGGGAGGGCGACAGGTCCTCCTGGCTGGAGTTACAGCGCCTGTGGCTGCTGGGGCTGGGAACTGAACCCGGGTCCTCTGCAGGAGCCACGGCGGCCCTTTCGCTGAGGCATCGGTGTCTCAGGACGGTTCGTCATGACGCCTGCCACCCCTGTGTTACACATCAGCTTGGTCTGCTCCTACAGCAAGGTCTGGCCAGGCTGGAGAGCCCCGAGGCTCCCCAGGGCTCTGGCCGTGGCTGCCAACTCTGAGAGCTCCTCTGCCTGTTGGGCCTGCATCCGAGCCACCTGCTGCTCCAACTTCCGGCGTTGCTCTTCCTGCTTCCGGTGGGCTCCTCGGAAGGCCAAGACCAGGGAGCTGAAGGGGAGGGGAGAAGCCTGGCTGAGGCGTCTGGCGGCAGCCGGGGCGGCGGTTCTCGGGGGCGGGAGCCCGCGACGCACCTGTGAGCCCGGCACAGCTCTCGGCCCAGCTCCGCGCTCTGCGCGCGCCGGCTGCGTCCCTTCTGAGCCGTCTGTTCCAGCCGCCGCCGCAGCGACCGCAGCTGTGCGCGCAGCTCCGCCGCGCTGCAGGGGCGAGAGAGCAGCCCAGCCGCTCCCACCCGACCCTCCCGCACGCCTGCGGACGGCCGAGTCCGCCGTGTGCCCTCCCCGCCCGCCCGGGGGCGCACTCACCGCGCCAGGGATGCGGACAGCTCCTGGGACAAGGTCTCCGAGTCCCACGCTCTGCCCGGCTGGCCACCAGGGAGGACACGAGGGCCCTAAGGGGGGCGGGCGGGAGAGAAGAGACCGTTTGTTTTTCCAGGTCGGGTTTCCCTGTGCGGCCCTGGCACTCGCTCTGTAGACCAGGCTGGCCTCGAACTCACGGAGATCCACTTGTCTTTGCCTCCCAAGAGCTGGGATTAAAGGCGTGCGCCACCACACCTGGCCAGATTTGTGTGTTATGTTTACAGTGTGTATTACACGCATTAATGTCGTGCGCACGCACACCTGCCCACAGTGTACGTGCGGGGGTCGGTTCTCTTCCCAGGATGTGGACCCACGTGTAAAGAAAGAATGGTGCCTGCGTCCCCGTGAGGTCTGGGGTTCTCCCCCTTCCTGAGGCCCGACTCAGGCAGGCCCCAATGTTTTCCTCTTCCTTTGGGTGCTGCCAGAACCTCACTGCGCTTTAAGCCCCTAAGTGACCCGGCTTCCTCAAGTTAGCGCCCCCCCCAGGCCGACCCCCTTCTCCCGATCGCCCTCCTCCCTTCAGGGGAAAGACAGTCCCGGCTTGCCCGTCCTTGGGCTTTCCTTTCAAATTCTAATAAATTGAGCTTCGGTTGGCTACATTCTTGAATTATTTAGTTAATGAGACTAAGAACCCCCAAAGGGACCCTGATTCCCCAGCTCTGCTGAGGCACCCCAAGATTTCCAGCAGCCCTTCGCTCCTGGTTTCTATTTGTTTTGATGTTTTAAAGGATGTGTTTTCATTTTTCCGTGTACGGGCGTTTGCAGTCCAGAGCTAGCGTTACAGGCGGCTGTGAACACCGTGCGGGGGTGGGAACCGAGCCTGGGTCCTGGCCAGGGCGGCCACCGCTCCCCACGCCCCTTAAAAAACTCTTTGGCTAGGAGACTTGCTCTGGGGGCTGAGCTGGGGTGGCAGCAGGCGCCTTTACCGCAGCGCGCTCTTTGGCGGGAGGGTGCTCGGCGCGGTACCTGGCAGAGCTGCTGGCCCTCGTCCTCGCCCTCGTCCTCGCTGCTCGGGTCCTCGCTGCTGCCGCCGCTGCTGCCGTCGCCCGCCAGCTGAGCCCGCTCCCAGCGAAGCTGCTGCAGGAGCAGCAGGTGGGCGGGGCCCTGGGCCCGCAGCGCCGCCTCCCGCAGCTCCAGCCCCCGCTTCTCCCGCCGCGCCAGCTGCAGCCGCAGCACCAGGTCCGCCAGACTGTCCTGCGGGCGGGGGTCAGTTCCGGGGGTGCCCACGGAGGACAGGGACGCACCCCGACCTGCTCACGGCCTTCCTCTCGTAAAAGCCACCGCCGGGAAATGGCATTGTGGACGCCGTTAGGATTTCTCAGACCTCACATCTTTGTATTTGCTGTTTGAAAATTACTTTGTGACTGGCGGAACAGTGCAGGCCTCAGTCCCAGCACTTGAGACAGAGCTCTGTGAGTTCAAGGCCAGCCTGGTCTACATAGAGTGCCTGTGTAAGGGGGTTTGCACGCGAGTGTCGTGCTGGGAGAGGCCAGGAAAGGGCGTCAGAGCCCTGGGAGCGGGAGTTGAAAGGCTGTGAGCCGCCATGGGTTGCTGGGGTCTGAGCCCCGGTCCTCGAGTACAGCCTGGTGCACTTGTAACTACTGAGCCGTCTCCCCAGTCTGGTTCTCCTGTCTTTCAGATTTCTGTTGTACGTTTCTGAGCCCCGCTGTCACTCCGGAGCTCAGGCCAAGAGCTGTGCTGTGCAGTCCTGATGCTCTGGTCTCGGCTCCGGTGCTGGGACTACGGTGTGCACCAGCATCGGTCTACTTTACAGAAGGGCGGGGGAGCAGTGCTGGGTCGGTGCTGTACTGAAGAACCACCCTGGCCCAAGCCCCAGGAACTCACCGTCCTGCCTGAAACCCTGCATCTCCCGTGGGAAGGCAGTTTGCAATGGTCAGTTTTGGTTGTCGGCTGGATGGGATGTAAAATCACCCCAACCCTGTATTTAAATGAGAGTAACGGGGGGGGGGGCCTACTGTCCCCGGGCTGGGGTCCTGGGTTGCATGCATCTCTCTGTTTTCTAAATGCTGGTGCAATGTGACCAACTGCCTCAGCCTCTGACAGTCATGGCTTGATGACTGCCACGACATACTGCACCCTGGAACTGTCAGACAAGTCGGAACATATCTTCCTTCCTGAAATTGTTCCTGCCAGGGACTTCATCATAGCGATACAAAGGCAACTTATAGGATCTTATGGAAAACCCAGTCGGGAGAAGAAACTCCTATGCATCCCTCAAAACCTCAACTCCAACCCCCTTTCATATAAGATGCCAGCTGCCCATCCAAGGGAAACCCTGCTTGCCTCTGGCCTCGAGTGACATCATCAAGGGTATGTTGTGACAGTGTCAGCACATTCCTACCCGAAGAGCCACCAGGTTCTGCTGGATCTGAGACTTCTCTAGCCGGGGCAGGGCTGGACCAGGCTGTATCTCCAGGATGGCCTGCACTGTTGCTTCTGCATGGGGCATAGTGGGCCTGGGTGCAGCGGCAGGGCCCATCGGTGGGGGGATCTTCACCAGAGCCCAGCGTTCCCGGAGATGCTGGACATAGCCCTGGAGCCGAGCAGCCAGTTCCTGTGGTGTAGGCTTGTCCACACTGCTGCCCTCTGGGCTACAGGAGACAGGTGGAGAGCAGTGTTGTACAGCTGTTCCCAAGACACAGACCGAGGAGCGCCCAGTCCTCTGCCAGCTGGGCATGTGCCGGGCTCCGTCCGTAGAGAGCTTGCATGCCTGAGGCACCATGTAAGCATCCTAGCTCTCAGGAGATGGGGGCTCGAGGGTCACCCTCAGTTACATAGCGAGGTGGTGGGGCCTAGACGGACCCGGCCGCCAGGGGTATGGCGTGTGCAGCTCACTGGACACTGAGCTGCACTGGCAGCTGAGACTCTGCGGCGCAGAGCCAGGAGCTCACGGGCCTTGTGATGGACCTAGAGCTGCATTGCTAACACACACACACACACACACACACATATATACACACACATATATATACACACACATATATATACACACATATATTCACACATACATATATGTATACACACATATACTACACATGTATGTATATACACATATACATGTACACACATGTATGTATACACACATATATATACACACATGTATATGTACACATATATACACATAGATATACATGTACACACATATGCATACACACACATATATATAATATATATAAATATATATGAGGCAAGGTCTCTTTATGTAGACGAAGCTGGCCTAGAACTTGCTATGTAGACCAGGCTGGCCTTGAACTCCTCAAACTACCTCCTGAGTGCTGGGATCAAAGGAGTGTTGTCAGGCAAACTTAAGCACCACTGAGTGACTAAGGTACTCCAGACAGGCCTTGTGCCAGCCAACCATGATGAACTTAGCACCTCCCTGGGCAGTGACAGCGACAATGACATTGAAATCCTATATGTAGCAGGCTCTGGGACATGCCCCCCATGGACCCCATAGCTCTCATGCTTCCTGTAAGTACCTGGGCTGGGGTGCCTTTCCATCCAGAGCTGCTTCCTTCTGCACCAGCAGCCGGGCTGCCTCCTCCTCAGTGGCCTGCAGGTCACTCTTGGGGACTCCAGCTCCTGAGCCAGCCGTCTTCAGAGCAAGCAGCACCCCACATGCCTCCTCACAATCCTCACTGTGGGATGGGATCTGAGTGTTTCAGCCCCAGCCCAGTAAGAGTCAGGCAGAGCTCTGTGAGTTCAGAGCCAGCCTAAGCTGCATAGCAAGTTCCAGGCCAGCTGGGGCTACACAACGAGACCTGTCTCAAATAAATATATAACAACAAACCACAAAAGACAGCTCCCAGCCTCCATAGTTTATGGGTCAGCACAAGGTCTCACGGTGAGGCAGGGTGCTTTCTGGAGTTCCCATGCCCCTGTGCAAGGGCCATCCTGGGATGCAGCCCCACCCCGCCCCAGCCACCACCACTGGGAGCAGACACAGACCTATACTGCAGGGCCAGGCGCAGGGCTGTGGCCTCAGCCTCCCGCTGGCCCAACTGCATGCTGAGGCTCTCACAGCGGCCCTTGTAGCCCTGGAGCACAGCCAGCAGGAGGTGATTGAAGCACTTCAACTTCTCAATGCTCCTATCTCCAAAGGCAGGCAAGAGGGAAGATGAGTGAGGCTACACCCCAGTTTCTTCCCCACCCCCTCACAACCCAGTGGCAGGAAGCATGATGCCCTTAAAAGCTCAGCAGCTGCGACTCAGCCACTCACCCCTGGAGCTGCTCCATCTGGTCTTCCATGAGGTGCCTCTTGGGGGCTGAACGCTGTGTGGAAATGCACCCAAAGGTCTGGGTGTTAGAGTCACTCTGGAGGGGTTGGAAAAGAGGATGAGCCAAGGGAGAGTCCTTCCGGGAGTACATGACTTGATTTACCCATCATCCTCCCTTTTTGTAGGGCTGGAGGGGGGTGGAACCAGGGCTCTGAAACACATTATGTATCTGCTGCGCCACTGCAGGCACAACTGCAGCTTTGGCTCGTGTTTTTGGCGAGTGTGTGTGCACATGTGTGGGATGTATGCCCATGACACATGATGGGATGTCAGAGGACAACTTATGGGACTCGGTTCTGTTTCCACTCTGGGAGTTCCAGGGATTGAACACAGATCACAGGCTTGGCAGCAGGTGCCCTTTCCAACAGAGTTACCTTGCCAGTGCTTATTGTTTTAACCTGGAGATAGGGTCTTGATAAATTTATTTGTCGTGATCCTTCTGTCTCAGACCCCTAAGCAGCTGGCGTGACTGAGGGGTGACAACCAAGCTGGTGTTTTATGTTTTAAGTTTAATTTTTTGTGTATGAGTGTGTTGCCTGCAAGTCTGTCTGTGCGCCATGTGCATGTCTGATGCCTGTGGAGCCCTGAAGGTGGCGTCAGGTCCCCTGAACTAGAATTACGGATGATAGTGAGCTGCCATTTGGGTGCCACTAGACCTGGTCCTCCGAGAGAGAGCAGCCAGCACCCCTAACCAATGAGCCATCTCTCCAGGCTCTGTTTAGGATCTCTTCACACTATGTGTTGTATTAGCAGTTTCCTCTGAGATAGAAACATTTCACCTGCTCCTTAGGCAGGACGGTAAGCAACTCCAAACAGCTTCAGGAAGTCCCTGAAACTGAGCAGACTCACTAGGCCCCTCCTGCCAGAGTAAGGAAAGTCCCTCAGAGACCAGCTGATTGGCTGCAAAGAAGACTAGAGAGCAGACCAACTGTCCTGAAGAGGTGTAGAGCAGTCACTAGCCGGGGGCACTCCAGTGCGCAGGCTGGGCAGTTCTGTGAGCTGTCACCTGTGCTGGGGGCTTTGGTGACGCAGCTCTCTGCGAGTCATTTCTGCTCCTGTAGGTGACCCCAATAAACTCACTGGGTCACCAAGCTGGACTTTGGCGGTGTCTGTGTTTTTGTGTGCTGTGGGCTCCCTGTATGGGATGAGTTGCCCTGTGCAGCGTCTCCCCAGGAAAAGCCTGTCACACAGCACTGTGGGATCCCATCAAGCACAAGCTGAAGCTTACACTGGAACAGCAGAGGACATCACAGCACGGGCTCTAAAGACGCTGGCTTACCTGAGGCACCCAGGGCTCCCCTTCTGCTGTAGAGCTGCTGGAGCTGCTGTTGGTATGCCCTGCTCTGAGGAGGGGAGCAGCCTGGGAGGCCTCCAGCTGCCTCAGGGAGTCCTCCAGCTCCTGCGCCTGCAGGTGACGGGGGTCAGGCTGTGACTTCACACGCAGACAGCTCTCACCAGCAGAAGGAACCCAACCAAACCCTGTCCATGTGGCCTGGGACCACCCAGCACCCAGCCTGAGGTGTGCAGCTGCTGGTGGGGGACTTAGGATCTATTTATTTTTATTATTGCATGTGTATCTGTGTATCGGTATTTTGCCTGCATGTTTGTTGTGTGAGGTGTTGGGTGGCTGGGAACTGGAATTACAGGAAGTTGTGAGCCTCTGGAAAAGCAGCCAGAGCTCTTAACGGCTGAGCCATCTATCTCTTCACCCCCCGACTTTTTTTGTTTGTTTGTTTGTTTTGCTTTGCTTTGTTTTTTCGAGACAGGGTTTCTCTGTGGCTTTGGAGGCTGTCCTGGAACTCGCTCTGTAGACCAGGCTGGCCTCGAACTTACAGAGATCCGCCTGCCTCTGCCTCCCGAGTGCTGGACTAAAGGCGTGCGCCACCACCGCCCGGCCAGCCCCCGACTTTTAAACTTTTTCCTTTTTAAATTTGTAGGAGACTCGGTGTTTCCTTGGGTTATCTGGGTCTCCCCAACTCAAGCCATCCTCCTGCCTCAGCCTCCCGTGTAGCTGGGATTTCAAGTGTGCACCACCACTCTCAGGAAGGAGAGTTTCATTTTTATGTTTCAGACTCTCCAAGCTGAGTCTGCTGGCCCCACCCCGGCGCTGGGGGTTCTAGGCAGGGCTCTGTCCGCGCCCCGGCCCAGTCTGACTTCTATTTGAGACGACGTTTGCCTGTCTTGCCTAAGCTTTTGCTAAACTGTGATCCTCCTGTCTCAGCCTCCAGAGCTCTTAGCATGGCAGGCTTGTCCCACCACACCTGGGTTTGCCATCACACATAATCTGCCCGTTTCTGGTCACTGTTCACCCCTCACCCCCCACCAGGGTCTCGGTCACCACCAGGCTGTTCCTCGCTCGGTCAGCAGGTGGCACAAGGGAACACCTGCAGCAGGTCCATTCCCTGTGAACCCAGAACCCAGACACAGGGGCGGGTCCTGCTCAGCTCCACACCCTGCACACTGTGGCACCCCCCTTGCCTGGGAGTTTAAAGATGGAAAGAACCTCTTCCTCTTAAAGAGGAAGGCGCTTTTTAATCTTTTTTTTTTCCAAGACAGGATTTCTCTGTGGCTTTGGAGGCTAGGAAGGCACTTTTTAGTTGTGGTGTTTTTTTTTTTTTTGTTTTTTTTTTTGTTTTTTGAGACAGGGTTTCTCTGTGGCTTTGGAGGCTGTCCTGGAACTCGCTCTGTTGACCAGGCTGGCCTCGAACTCACAGAGATCCGCCTGCCTCTGCCTCCCAAGTGCTGGGATTAAAGGTGTGCGCCACCAACGCCTGGCTAGTTGCGGTGTTTTATCACAGCAATAGAAACCCTAAGACAGGATTATTCAGGGCACGTGCGTGCGTGCGAGTGTGCGTGCATGTATGTGTATGTGTGTGCGTGTGTGCGCGTGCATGCGTGTGCGCGTGCATGCGTGTGCGTGTACGCACGCCCAGGGCCTCACACACTCTAGGCAAAGCCTCTATCACAGAGGTACTCTGAAACTTAAAAAACAGACAAATTGACGCAGGTCTTTAACCCAGGCTGGCCTTGAACTCAATCTACGTCTGGGAATGACCTTTGTCTTGACCAAGTGGCTTCTGCTTGACATCGGTCTCTCTTCAGCTTTTGGGGTGCGAGGCCATGGGGTGCACCCTGCCTGGCTGCCTTCTGACCCTCTTTCTCTTGGTCACTTCTGGCTTTTCTGTCACCCCCACATGGTTTGCTGAGTGAATACGTGTGAGTGCGAGAGTGTGTGCGTGCGTGTGCATGCGTGTGAACGCGTGTGTGAATGCGCGTGTGTGAGTGTGTGCATGTGTGTACATGTGTGTGCGCGTGTGTGAGTGTGTGCACGCGTGTGAGTGTGTGCACGCGTGTGAGTGTGTGCATGTGTGTACATGTGTGCATGTGTGTGCGTGTGTGAGTGTGTGCACGCGTGATTGTGTGTGTGCTCCTGAGGCAGGATCTGCCCCTTCCCCAGGCACTAGCTCACCTGTCTCTGCAGAATCTCCTTCTCCGCCTGGGCTTCCTGCAGCGAAGCCTGCGTGCAAAGCAGCTCGTCCTCGCGGCTGCCCAGGGCCAAGCGCAGCCAAGCGTTCCTCTCTCTGAGGCGAGCTGCCTCGTGCTGTCCAGGCCTGCCTTCTTCCTGATCACCAAAGGGCTCCAAGGCCACCTGGTCTCCGTCTTCTCTTTCCGATGGCCTTGGAAAGCTTAGGGAGCGCCGGCGCCAGGCGGCCACAGTGGCCTCAAGGGAGCTCAGCCTGCTTTGCAGGGTCTCAAACACACTGGGTGCCGATGTCGCAACAGGGCTGGTATCCAGGGGGGCTGCCTGCAGGCAGCGGCCTTCCGCCTTTGACTTCAAGGCGAGGGCCCCACGGGATCCCACGCCACAATCATCCTCGGGGCTGGAAAGACAACCCAGGACCCGCAGCCGCCTGAGTCTGAGCGGAGGCTTCAGGGCTGCCCCAGGCCCCTGGGAAGGGTGAGCCGGCAGTGAGCTGAAGGAAGGGAAGGGAAGGGAGAGATGGAGGATGGGGGAGGCGGTGGGGGCAGCTCTGTGAAGGGCTCCTGCTGGAGTAGGAAGTAAATCCGTCCTACCGGCTCCCTGGGCTCCGCAGGGCAGGACCACGCTGCTCCTGAAGTAGCCCAGGTTTGGCCTCGCAGCTCCCACCGGTGGCCTCCACCTCCTCTGAGCTCTCGGCCACTGGGTCCAGCTCCCCCTGACGGTGACACCCCACCGCAGGTTCTGAGCCGAGCAGGCCTGCGCTCCAGCAGCCGTGGGGCTGGGTGCATGGGGAGACGGGCACACTTACGGGCTGAGGGTGCCTCCCCCGACGGCTTCGGGGCCGTGTGGCCCGGGCACTCATTGCCTCTGTCACCGCTGGCCGCGGCCTGCGCTCAGGTCTTTCCTTCGCCTCCCTCCGTTTTCCCCCAGGAGTTTTAGGTCAGCTGCGCAGATAGAACATCTGAATACCCGACGGCGCCCACTGCCTGGGCCTTTGGCCCCAACCTCTCTCTCTACCTGACTCTCCCCTACGGAGGCGTGGGAGAGGGACCCCAAGAATCTGCCCCCCGCCCAGCACCAAACTCCCTCCCCGGGGGCCCCACCCACCCCCGTCTGCTCCAGGGCACCTCTGGAAAGGCCTGAGCACCTGGACATCTCGGGTCACCCTGGCCTCCGAGGCTGCGCTGGCCCGGGCTGGCCTGGGAGGGGCTGAGAAGCAGGAAGCCCCCGCCCTGGTCACATGGACAGTCATTGTCTTGTTTCCTTCTTCAGGGGTGTCGGCTTCCTCCAGAGTGTGGACAGGACGCCAGGCTCACAGCCCTCCCCGCGCCCGCCCGACCTGTGGTCAGTCCGTTTCCATTGCAGGGCTTCTCAGCGTCCCCATGTTCACCAGGGCTCACTCTGATGTAAGGTGTGTGAAGGTGTGTGCGTGCGTGTGCATGCATGTGTGTATGCGTGTGTGCGCGTGTGTGCACGCGTGCGTGTGCCTGTGTGTGCGTGTGTGCATGCGTGTGCGCGCGCGTGCATGCGTGTGTGTATGCGTGTGCATGTGCCTGTGTGAGCGTGTGAGCGTGTGTGCGTGTGTGTGTGCATGTGTGCGTGTGCATGCATGTGTGGATGCGTGTGTGCGCATGCGTGCGTGTGGTGTGTGCGTGCGTGTGCATGCGTGTGCGTGCGTGCGTGTGCATGCGTGCGTGCGTGCGTGCATGCGTGTGTGGTGCGTGTGCGTGCGTGTGTGCGTGTGTGTTTCTAAAACAAAAACCCTGCAGGAGTGGGCTCCACATCGGAATAAAATTGTACTTTCCACTATTCTGCCCTGTTTATCTGTGTCTGTGGTGGGCCAGCCCCACGCACTGGGTCCCGGTCCTCTCCTCCCACCCGGCGGGGCGGTGCCTGCACCGTTCACCGGCCCTCATGCTTTCCTTCCAGGAGACTGGCGCTTTCTCGGCGGCCAAGGCTCCCGCGGGACAATGAGCCTGTCCACGGTGTGTCTGCCCGCTTCCCCTTTTTGTTTTGTCTTTCCATTTTGGTTATAGAAGGGTCTCGAATAGCCCAGGCTAGCCTAAACAGCTGATTTAATCTTCTGACCCCTCGGGCGCGGAGATGACGAGCGTGCACCACCGGCCCGCCTCGCGGTAGTACTGGACGAATGCCAACATACGTCAAGTGCGAAGCAGAGATAAATAACTCAGAGGGCCCTTGGCAAACCCACGTCAGGCCCTACCCGTCAATCATCAATCAGCCCCGCCCTATCACGGCAGAAGCCTCGACAATCGTAGTCTACTTAAGCATAACTACAAGCCCCGCCCCATCAGTCCCTTTCCTAATGCTACCCTACTTCAGCCCTACTCCTGCCCTACTGTGGGCACCCCGCCAGGGGCCTGTTAGCGTCCCTGTCCCGGGCCACTGCACTACATTTCCCAGAAGGCGTCACGGCCGCGCCGTGCAAACTTCCGGTCAGGAAGATGGCGGCTTCCTAGACCCCTGTGATTGACTGGCCGCGGTTCCTAGGCTGCAGAGTGGAGCCGGGCGGTGTGACCTCGTGCGAGCTCTTCTGTGGCTGTGGTGTAACATCGACGCGGCTTGCTGGCAGCTCCAGGCTCGTTGTGCCCCGGAGTCGCCGCCCCGAGAAGCGCACACCTTTGCACGGCCGGCGCCTTGCGGTCCCTGCTGCCCCGGGGACCTGGCCGCCCGCTCTCGTGCACGCGCCAGCCACCCGCGCGCTGTGGCCTCGCGTGGCAGACACCCAGACACAAGCTCGCCAAGGCCAGCCAGGCAAGTGGGGCGCCAGCAAAGGCTTCAGGGGCAGCGGGCGCGGGCTTCGGCCGGGGTGGCGCGGGCGCTGCCGCGGGGAAGGAGCCTCGAGGAGCTCTCCGCGGTGTCTTCTCAGCCCGGCAGCCCATTGATCTCTGTCCCATGTCTGTCCCCTGGGACGGCCAGGTGCGGGAGCCACCGAAGGCCTTGCCGGGCCAAATGCCACCTCGGCGTACTCCCGGGGACCAGGCTGCTGTGTCCATTGGCTGTGAAGGGCAGTGACGGTGTTTGCCCTGCTGCAGACTTGGGCGGCCACGAGTGGACCGCAGCGCAGTGGGGAGGGTGTGCAGCTCAGTGGGTAGTGTGGTAGCTCAGTGGGTAGGGTGTGCAGCTCAGTGGGTAGGGTGTGGCAGCTCAGTGCGTAGTGTGGCAGCTCAGTGGGTAGTGTGGCAGCTCAGTGGGTAGGGTGTGGCAGCTCAGTGGGTAGGGTGTGGCAGCTCAGTGGGTAGGGTGTGCAGCTCAGTGGGGAGGGTGTGTAGCTGAGTGGGTAGTGTGGTAGCTCAGTGGGGAGGGTGTGGTAGCTCAGTGGGTAGGGTGTGCAGCTCAGTGGGTAGGGTGTGGCAGCTCAGTGGGGAGGGTGTGCAGCTCAGTGGGGAGGGTGTGCAGCTCAGTGGGGAGGGTGTGTAGCTGAGTGGGGAGGGTGTGTAGCTCAGTGGGGAGGGTGGGTAGCTCAGTGGGGAGGGTGTGTAGCTCAGTGGGTAGGGTGCTCGCCTAGCACGCCTGGGGCCCTGGGCCCCCATCTGCAGCGCACAGAAGCTGGGTGCAGAGGGTCACACTGAGTTGGAGGCCGGTGCGGGTTCCGTGCAGCTGCTGTTGCTGATTTGGTTCCCGGCCTCCGTCTTAAGGGAGCCGCTCTGCAGCCGCCGGAGCCTCCTGAGAGGCAGGGCGCTCGCGGCTCAGCTCCTGGCCTCTCACTGCTTTCTAAAACTCTTGAAGCAGGGTCCTGGCTTCCGCAGCCCCCTCTCCATCCCAGCACCCCGGGGCCATGGAGGCGGCCGAGGCCCGCAGCCCCCCTGAGGACGAGGAGGAGCAGGAGGAGGAGGACGGGGAGGAGCCGACACCTGAGCCCCGGCCTCACACTCGCTCCAACCCCGAGGGCGCCGAGGACCGGGCCCTGGGAGCTCAGACCCACGTGGGCAGCCGCAGCGAGGGCGAGGGTGAGGCAGCCAGTGTCGCAGGGGCCGGGCCCAAGCCCTGGCAGGTACCGGCACCTGAGGTCCAGATTCGAACACCACGGGTCAACTGTCCAGAGAAGGTGGTACGTGGCTGTCCTGACTGGGGATGCAGGCCGTGGGGTCGCCCCGCAGGCCACTCTGGCCCTGTGAGAGTCTGATGTTGCCACCTGCTTCCATGCATGAGTCCACACTTGGTGACTTAAACTTCACTGAATTAGATTCTTTTTTTTTTTTTTTTTTTGGTTTTTCGAGACAGGGTTTCTCTGTAGCTTTGGAGGCTGTCCTGGAACTCACTCTGTAGACCAGGCTGGCCTCGAACTCACAGATATCCGCCTGCCTCTGCCTCCCGAGTGCTGGGATTAAAGGCGTGCGCCACCAACGCCCGGCCTGAATTAGATTCTTGGTTTTTTGTTTTGTTTGTGGCACCTGGACCTACACATAGACCCCCAGCCCCTCCCTGGGAGATTCTAGGCAGGGGCTCCATTCCTGAGCCACGCCCCCAGCCCCTGGAGGACTGCAGGCTGGGTCCCACCCTAGGTGTCCTAGCTCTGTCTGCTTTGGTCCTATACTCTCTGTCTTCTGCTTATGTTTCAGATCATCTGTCTGGATCTTTCGGAGGAGATGTCCGTGCCCAAACTGGAGTCTTTTAATGGGTAATGGTGGCATTGGGTGTGGCCATGGGCAGCTCAGAGTGCAGAGGGTCCTTGTTCTACCCGGGAGGACCCAGGCATCCATGACACAGCATCAGGGCTCTGTCCGTGTGTGTGTGTGTGTGTGTGTGTGTGTGTGTGTGTGTGACACGCTCGTAGGAGCCAAGGACCCCGGTGGGTGTGGTGCGCTCAGTTTGATGGGGCAGAACTGTTGAGCTCCGTGTGCTCCCAGGGGGTGGGGCATGCGGTGTCACTCTGGAGTGGCTTCAGGGCCCTGTGACGATAGAGCAAGTCCACAGGAGCGATGGCACACACCTGCCGTCAGCACTGGGGATGGGGATGGAAGAGCCAGGAGTTCAAGGTTCACCTGGGCAATACAGTGATTTGGGCGCCAGTTTGGATCCCACAGCAGGTTGAGGCTAGCCTGCACTACATGGTGAGTTTGAGCTCACTTGGTATATTAGGATTCTTTTAGAGGAACGAAACTGAGAGAATGAATCTGTGTGCATATGTATGTACACACCCACACACCCACACGCATGCACACACACTCACACACATACACACACTCACACACTCTCACACACACTCACACACGCACACACACTCTCATACACATACACACTCACACACTCTCACACACACTCACACACCCTCACACACCACACACTCACACACTCACACACACACTCACACACATGCGCACACTCACACACACATACACTCTCACACACACTCACACACGCACACACACTCTCATACACATACACACACACTCACACACACACTCACACACCCTCACACACCACACACTCACACACTCACACACTCACACACATGCACACACTCACACACATACACACTCACACACTCTCACACACTCTCACACACGCACACACACTCTCATACACATACACACTCACACACTCACACACACCCTCACACACCACACACTCACACACTCAGTCTCACCTCACACTCACACACCCACACACATGCGCACACACTCACACACATACACACACACACACTCTCACACACATACACACACTCACACAACACACACTCACACACTCTCACACATATGCACACACACTCTCACACACACACACACTCACACACTCTCACACACATGCACACACTCTCACACACATACACACACTCACACAACACACACTCACACATTCTCACACACACACACACACACACAGGTTTATTGGAGTGGCTTACAGGCTGTGGTCCAGCTAATCCCAATGGCTGTCTGTCAGCGGAAGGTCCCAGAACCCAGTGGTCGCTGTCTCAGGAATGGGCTGCGAGTGAGGCCAGATCCCTTCCTCCCTGCCCTTTACCTAGACCGCCATTGGAGGGCGTGGCCTCCATTGAAGGTGGCTCTTCCCACCTCGGAAGACTGGATAGAAGTGGGTCTTCCGCCTTCACAGGATTTAATTAGGAGTCCCTCACGGCCACGCCCAGTAGTTAATTCCAGCTGTGGTCAGGTGACAGCCCTGCCCCTGTCGCCCGCCTCTCCAGCTCCAGGACGAACGCCCTCAATGTGTCTCAGAAGATGGTTGAGATGTTCGTGCGTACAAAGCACAAGATTGACAAGAGCCACGAGTTTGCGCTGGTCGTGGTGAACGACGACTCCGCTTGGGTAAGGCTGGGGTGGGTGGGGCTCTGGGGACTCAGGACTGGTTGCCCAGCACTGAGGCCCCGCCTTCCCCACAGCTGTCTGGCCTGACCTCCGACCCACGCGAGCTCTGCAGCTGCCTGTACGACCTGGAGACGGCGTCCTGTTCCACGTTCAGTATCCTTATCACTTTACAGATCGGCAAAGCTGGAACGGGCCAGTAGTATTGTGGAGTCCTGGAACACAGAGCCCAGGTTGAATGTTCAGAATCAAAGCAATCCAGAACCTGACACCAGGACCTTTCTGTAGCTGCTGGATTGTTTTTCTTGTAGACCAGGCTGGTCTCGAACTCACAGAGATCCGCCTGCCTCTGCCTCCCGAGTGCTGGGATTAAGGGTATATATCATCACCTCACATCAAATATATAAATATATTTTTGAGACTATTTCTCTTGTAGCCCAGGCTAGCCTTGAATTCATAATGTAGCTAAAGATGGCCTTGAACTCCTGGTTCACCTGCCTCCTCCTGTGCTGGGATGACAGTGTGCTGGACCCACAGCTGCATGAACGCTAAGCATCTGCCCTAGCCCCGCAACCCCAGCCCCAGCGAGACTCGGGTTTGTCCAGTGAGATCACAGGAGAATATTCCGTGTATGGGAGTCACATTCAAGACCCAGCAGTTTACAGGCCAGGCTTACCTACAAATCTAGACTCCGCTTCAAAACCATAAAACCAGCAAAACGGGAACCTGGCTATTAATCCACCATGATGCCAAGCCCCAAAGCCACCTAGCACCCAGGAGTCCCTGACGCCCACCCTGAGCAGTGGAGGGGTGGGTGTCGAGTGTCAGGCGCACCCAGGGAGCCTGCCACCCAAGCAGGGCTGGCATACAGCCCGTGCCTCCTTTTTTTTTTTTTTTTTTTTCGAGACAGGGTTTCTCTGTAGCTTTGGAGGCTGTCCTGGAACTCGCTCTGTAGACCAGGCTGGCCTTGAACTCACAGAGATCCACCTGCCTCTGCCTCCCGAGTGCTGGGATTAAAGGCATGTGCCACCAACGCCCGGCCAGCCGGTGCCTCTTAATGCTGATATTTACCTGAAAAGCCACAGCCATGCCTTTCAACCTGCAGCCTCTAACATGGAGGGTGCTCCCCCAGAATTAAGGTAGCATTGAGGACGTGGCAGGAGGGTCCTGGGGGGGGGTCTGCAGGGCTTCAGGCAGCACCCACTCTACGATGTGTGAAAGGAAGCAGGTGTGGGACACACAGCCTGTCCCGGGGTGCCGTCATCCCCCGGGCCCCAAGCTGGCACCTTGTCCTTAGCGACCCTCCAGATCTGGAAGGCCTCTTCAGTCTCATGTGAGTGCACCTCCAAAGTGAGGCGTGGCCTTGGGTTCCCTCCCCAGCAAGGTGCAGACAGACAGACAGCCTCTCAAGGCCGTCCAGTGGGTGGGGCCGCGGGTCAAGACCCTTTGTCCAGCGGCGGAGCTTGCATTTGAGAATGCTTTTAAAGAAGTCTTGGACATTTTTTCCTTACGTATTTATTTTTGTGCAAGTGTGTGGGCGGCCGTGCTTGTGTGGGGGTCAGGGGTGACTTGTGAAAAGCCCTTCTGTGCTTCTGCCTCGTGGGGCCCGCACATCAAATCGGATGTGCGGACTTGGCTGCAGACGCCTGGAGCCTCTTGGCCCCAGAGCCGTCTCTCTGTCCCTGGCTTTGCATTAATTCAGGGCCACCAGGAGCGGGGCCTGTGGGGTTCAGCCGTGGGGGAAGGGTTTGGCCCAGGCCTGGCAGGCAGCGGGTATCGAGCCCCCCTCTCCCCTCTGTAGCCAGCAGAAGACCGAGCTGCCAGTCACAGAGAGCGTGCAAACCATCCCTCCCCCCTACGTGGTGCGCACCATCCTGGTCTACAGCCGCCCGCCCTGCCAGCCCCCGTTCTCCGTGAGTGAGCCCATGAAGGTGAGCCTGGAGGGTGGGGGCTGATCGGACTCCCAGGACCGCGGCGCTGTGGCGGCACCCACCCACCCTGCCTCTCACCCGCTGCAGAAGATGCTCCAGTGCCCCTACTTCTTCTTCGACGTCATTTACATCCACAACGGCTCGGAGGAGAAGGAGGAAGAGGGGTGGAAGGTGAGAGTCTGGGGGGGGGCGCCCTTCCTGCCATGTCAGTCACTTAGCGGCGTTTCCTACCTCTCCCGTTCGTTCGCTGCTGTGACTCGAGTGGGAGCCTGTGGTCTTAGCAGCGGAGCTCACACCGTGCCTACCCCCAGCTCTTTCCTGACCTCACCCGTGCACCCTCGGCCCGGGCACCCTCCCTCCCGTTTCAGCCTCTCCAGACCTCACTGCTTCACCTCTGACTTGCTGTGGCTGAGTGCGCTTCTGACGTCTGTGAACCTAAGTTTCCAGACTGAGAGGTGGGAGTTCAGTCCCTGAACCTACACAGCGGGAGCGCTGACTCCCAAAGATTGTACTCTGACCCCTACACACCTGTACTCAGTGCACACACACACTCACACCTGCACTTAGTGCATACACACTCACATACACACCTGTACTCTGCACACAGACACACACACCTGCACTCAGCACACACACCTGCACTCAGCGCACACACCTGCACTCAGCGCACACAGACACACCTGCACTCAAGAGCACACACACACCTGCACTCAGTGCACACACACACACCTGCACTCAGAGCACGCACACACACCTGCACTCAGAGCACACAGATACACACCTGCACTCAGAGCACACAGATACACACCTGCACTCAGCACACACACACACACCTGCACTCAGTGCACACAGACACACCTGCACTCAGAGCACACACACACACCTGCACTCAGTGCACACAGACACACCTGCACTCAGCGCACACACCTGCACTCAGCGCACACACCTGCACTCAGAGCACACACACACACCTGCACTCAGTGCACACAGACACACCTGCACTCAGCACACACACCTGCACTCAGCACACACACCTGCACTCAGCGCACACACACACACCTGCACTCAGCGCACACACACACACCTGCACTCAGCACACACACCTGCACTCAGCACACACACCTGCACTCAGTGCACACACACCTGCACTCAGCACACACACCTGCACTCAGTGCACACACACACCTGCACTCAGCACACACACCTGCACTCAGTGCACACACACCTGCACTCAGCACACACACCTGCACTCAGTGCACACACACACCTGCACTCAGCACACACACCTGCACTCAGCACACACACCTGCACTCAGTGCACACACACACCTGCACTCAGTGCACACACACACCTGCACTCAGTGCACACACACACACCTGCACTCAGTGCACACACACACCTGCACTCAGCACACACACACACACCTGCACTCAGCACACACACACACACCTGCACTCAGCACACACCAAAGCCCCCCCAGCACAGGTGACAGCTCACAGAACTGCACAGCCTGCGCACTGGAGAGTGTCCCATGCTAGTGACTCTGGCCTAAGCCTCTTCCAGACAGCTGGTCCCTGACAGAGAGGGGCCTAGTGAGTCTGCTCAGTTTCAGGGACTTCCTGAAGTTCTATGTCAGAGGACGCTGACACAGGAGGCTGGCCTGGGCTGCAGGATGAGGCAGGATGAGGAAAGAGAAAACATGAGTGAAAACTCCTCCCGTGGGGGCCGTCTCTTGTTGCCACTGTGGCCACTCCTGGCTGGCCCCTGAGTTCTGGATCCTCCCTGCAGGGGAAGTGGACTGGGACTAAGGGTGTGCCTTTCTGCCAGGCGTTGGTGGCGCACGTCTTTAATCCCAGCACTCGGGAGGCAGAGGCAGGCGGATCTCTGTGAGTTCAAGGCTAGCCTGGTCTACAGAGCAAGTTCCATGACAGCCTCCAAAGTCACAGAGAAACCCTGTCTCGAAAACAAACAAACAAACAAAAAAAAGGATGTACCCTTCTGCATCTAGCTTTCCATAGGTCCACGGGATTTGAACTCAGGTCCAAGTGCTCGCATAGCAGACACTACTCACTGAGCCACCTCCCGGCCCCACACTGTGGGTGCTCAGGTCCTGGGTGCTGGGGGGATGTTAGGGATGTTTGCTGACTGCAGTAACAGTTTCTGACCCAAACAACTCCTCTTCACCCCTTAGAGCCCGCTGTAGATACCCCTTCCTCTAGGAAGGCCTCCAGGGGCAGGGAGGGCTTTTGGGGCTAATCCCAATACCAACAGCCTCTCGCTGGCCCCCACAGGACATGTTCTCCTTCATGGGAAGCCTGGACACCAAGGGCACCAGCTACAAGTATGAGGTAACCCTGGCTGGGCCCGCCCTAGAGCTGCACAACTGCATGGCCAAGCTGTTGGCCCACCCGCTGCAGAGGCCCTGCCAGACCCACGCGAGTTACAGCCTGCTGGAGGACGAGGAGGCTGCTGAGGGCGGAGCCACCGTGTGAGCTGCGTGCGAGCTGCTTGCGAGCTCCGACGGCTCTGCACAGCCTGCTCCTGCCGTGTCTGCTGTAAATTCTCTCTTCCTGGGACCACTCTGTCTCCAGAATAAAATCTGAGGCTTCTGGACCTGTCCTCGGGTCGTTTTGGGTTCACCAAGGCACTGAGCCTAGCGGCCGTGTTCGGCCTCGGTGCTGGCTGCATGCACCCGGCGTCCTGACACCACAGCCATCGTGACCTGGGCTGTGCACTCCCTCAGGCGGTGTCAGCTGTGTTTGCAGACTCCTCGTTACCCTACAGAACCCACCCCAGATGTCCTTTCCTTCAGGAAGTCCTCCGAGACAAGGAGCATCTATTGCAGGTGACGCTGGTGTGGCTTCCGCAGAAAGCGTACTTTTGGGGTCCTCCAGGACACCCAGGAGTGCCAGCTCCAAGTGGGAAGTGGGGTCCTCCCGGACACCCAGGAGTGCCAGCTCCAAGTGGGAAGTGGGGTCCTCCAGGACACCCAGGAGTGCCAGCTCCAAGTGGGAAGTGGTCGGGGTGACACTTCCCACCGCCATCCCAAACTGTGCTGCAGTGCGCTGTCTCAGACCCCGACCTGACTGCACCTGTGTAGCCGGTGGCTCACCAAGAGCGACCACCCAGAGTCCCAGAGTCCAGAGTCCCAGAGTGCGCCCTGTGATGCGTGCCCAGAAGAGCAAGGCAAGCCTGGCCCCTCCCATCCACTCCACCTCCATTCACAGGAAACCAAGTGGCGGTGAGCGGGAGGCGGGCTCTGCTGTAGGACTTAGCAGAGTCACTTTCTGGGGTGGAATGAACAGCTGTTTCCTAGAAGTCCTTGAAGAGTCCTTGTGGAAAACAGGGATTGCTTTGCTGAAGGGGCATCGCTGCCGCCCCATGGCTTTGGTCACAGACACCTCAGGCACAGCTGAGGATCCTGTATTATTGTGACTGCAAACGGATACGAGTCACGGGCGCACGGACGCTCCCCATCAGTGACGCATGCACGTTAGCCCAGGGACCTTGGTGTGAGGGATTTTTTGTGTAATGGCCATTAATGTGGCTTTGCACAGCTGTCTGCGCTCATCCCGTCAGAGCGATTGGACCTTCCTGCAGCCGCTTAGGCCGTCAAATTTCAAGCTGTTGGGCTTGTTCTGAGCCGAGCTGCATGGTGCACCCCAGCAGGGCTACACAGTGCACCAGACTCACGCGGAGACGGGGGGCTGAGGCAGGGGGGTGGCCAGGTCCAGGGCAGCAGGGGCCACATGGGGAAACGGTGGCTCAAAAGGAGTATGAACAAAGCTAGATCCGGGTTCGATTTCCGTGTGCAGGCTCACGACTTCGGTTCCGGAGGATCCACTGCCCCTTCTGTCTCCATGGGCCCCAGGCACACATGGCACACAGACCGCCGTGCAGGCGAAACACCCATGTGATTAACTTAAAAGCAGGTTAGCCGGGCGGTGGTGGCGCACGCCTTTAATCCCAGCACTCGGGAGGCAGAGGCAGGAGGATCTCTGTGAGTTCGAGACCAGCCTGGTCTACAAGACCTAGTTCCAGGACAGCCTCCAAAGCCACAGAGAAACCCTGTCTCAAAAAAACCAAAAAAAAAAAAAAAAAAAAAAAAAGCGGGCCAGCCTGACTGTTTTCTGGCCCCGCGTTTACACTTAGTGCTGAGCTCTGTCCACCCATTTGCAAGTAAGGAACTCTTCAGGAAATTTTGTTTAATTTTGTTTAATTAGTTGGCCCGCGGCCAAGGCACACGTGTGCACGTCCGTCTGCCCTCTTTCCAGCCTGTGGGTCCTGAGGCTCGAACCGGGCTCGTCAGACTTGGCAGCAAGCACCTCTACCTACAGAGCCGTCTCGCTTGCCCTCGCAGAGCAACAGTGACAGCCAGCTCGGCTGGACTGAAAATGCGCGGCGCGGGCACTCGGGAGTGGGATCCCAGCTCTCGGCCTGCTGAGGCAGGAGAGTGGACAGCTTGGGCTAAGTCTACGGTGCCCAGTAGTTTGTCCTTTGTGCCCCGCTCTTTACCCCACGCCCCTGGAGTTCGCGGCAATCCTCCTGACTCCGCATCCCAGTGTGGGACCCCAGCTGCGGGCACCAGCGCCCCCCAGCCTTGGTCTGAGGCTCCGGGCTCTGCCGGTCCACCCAGGGCGTCGCCAGGGCGTGGCCGATGGGCGTGGCCGCGCGTGCGCAGAGGCCGCCGCGCGAATTTGAACGGCGGAGCGGTGCCATGGCGGATTCCGCGCGCTGGGCCCGGCAGCTGCAGGCGGCGCTGCGCGAGTGGGAGCCTCGGTGAGGGCGGGCGGGGTCCCCGGGCCTCCTGCTCCCCGGGCGGCCGGGAGGGCTGGGGCTACTCTCGCCGTCTGCCGCAGGGCTGTGGAGGAGCTGCTGCGCCGGGGCGCGGACCCCAGCCTGGTGCAGGAGGGCGGCGCGGCGGCGGTGCACCTGGCGGCCCGAGCGCGCCACCCGCGCGCCCTGCTCTGCCTCCGGATCCTGCTGCGCCGGGGCGCGGACCCCAACGCCCGGTAAGGCGCGCCCGGGGCGCCCTGGAGCGGTGGCTGCGGCCGGGGCGCCCGGCGGGGGTGGGGGTGGAGATGTCTACTCCGAGGAGGGTGAGGCAGGAGGGTGACGGTGAGTTAGGGTGTCAGCGCCCCCTGGTGCCCGAGGCGGTGGGCACGCGTCATCTCAGCACACGGGGCTGGGGCGGAAGGAGCAAAGAGGCCGAGGCTAGCCTGGGCTACACGAGCTGCTCTCCCCCGCGTGCCAGGTCCGCCGAGGCGCTGACGCCGGTGCACGTGGCCGCAGCGTGGGGCTGTCGTGGCGCCCTGGAGCTGCTGCTGAGCCGCGGGGGCGACCCCACGCTGAGAGACCAGGTCAGGACCCTGCGGGGCACAGGGCGGCGGGAGGGCGGACCGCGGGCGCCCCCTGCTGACCGTGTCTGCGCAGGACGGGCTCCGGCCCCTGGACTGGGCGCTTCGGCAGCGACACCACAGCTGCGCACGCGTGCTGCGGGAGCTGGACAGGCCCGCTCGAACCCCGGAACCCGCCGGTGAGCAGAGCTGAGGGGTGCGCGGGGCCTGGCACCGGGCTTCCTCGCTGCGGGGCCATCTGTCAGTCACTGCCCATGACCTGTCAGTCATCACCGGTCGTCAGTCACCTGCCTGTCACGTCGTGCCTGTTTATGTTTATCTGTCTGCTTAGTTGTCATCTGTCTTTACATTCATGTTTGTCTGTATTTAGAGAAGTTTCCGGTAGCCCCGGCTGACCTTGAACTCGCTATGTGCGGAGGGCGTGTCTCTGCGGGGTCTCCCGCTGTCTCTGCACCTCCTCGTGTGTCCCTGGCCTCGGAGCAGCGCACGTGCAGAGCCGAGCGGCCAGCTGCGCAGGAGGTGACAGTAGAACCCCCAGAGCCCCGGAGCTCAGAGACCACCAGGAGCCCGGACTGCAGCAGCGACACCTTTGTCACTGCCTTGGAGGATTCTCCACAGCCCCGGCACCCAGCGGGGACACCGGGGCCCGCAACGGGGACACCGGGGCCTGCAGCGGGGAGACCAGGGCACCCAGCGGGGTCGCCGAGGCCCGCAACGGGGACGCCGGGGCATCCAGCAGGGACACCGGGACACCCAGCGGGGACGCCGGGGCACCCAGCGGGGACGCCGGGGCACCCAGCGGGGACGCCGGGGCACCCAGCGGGGACGCCGGGGCACCCAGCGGGGAGACCGGGGCACCCAGCGGGGAGACCGGGGCACCCAGCGGGGACGCCGGGGCCCGCAGCTGCCCCGCGGCCGCCCCGTGGGGCCATGGCGGCTGGGGACGAGGCACTGAGCTGCCAGCTGCAGGCCCTGACGTTGACCGCAGAGGCCCCCATCGTCGCCTCCCTGCCGGGTGACGGCGACCCAGGGGCCTCGCACCCACAGGGCCCAGTGCCCCCCATGTCCGACCTACAGTTGCTCCAGGCCCTCCGGGCCCTGGGCCACAGTCCTGGCCCGGTCACGCCTTTCACCCGTGGACACTACCTGCGGCGGCTGCAGGAAGCCCAGGCTAGCCTGGGTGAGTACCGCGGCGCTACTCCTGGAATCCAGGGACCTGGCTCTCAGCCCCACCACCATCACCAGCCGCTCTCCTGGGTCCTGACTCGGTTTCCCCTCCGCAACTGTTGCAGGGCACAGCCCAGAGCTGGCTGAGGCGCTCAGGACAGGCCACATCCCCGACTGCCAGGCGCATGAGGCTGCCCTGACGCAGCACTTCCAGCGGCTGGATCCCGCCAAGAGGTGGAGGGGAGGTGTTACAAAATCCAGCTTTACATACCTCCTCCTCGACCCCAGGTACGAGGGTAACAGGAAAGTTGGGGTTGGGCTTACACAGAGCCCTGCAGAGCAGGAGCCCAGCTGGCTCCGTCCCGGAGCTTGAGGCCTGGGTTCTAACAGGGAGATTCTGCTTCCAAACACCAAACGCTGCAGAAGCTGGGGATTCGGTTTTGATTTGCTGTGTGTCCCTAGGGAAGGGGCTAGCCCTCTCTGTTAACTGGCCCGAGTCGATTCCAGCTGTGAGTACCTATCACATGGCTTATAAAATAGGGGCCCCGGTGTGGGTTCAGATGCCCATGGCTCTGAAGACCGAGCTCATTTTTCCGTCTGAGCCGTCCCCACCCCCGCCCTGTCTGTTTTCTGTGCAAGCGTCTGTATGTGCATGGGTGCACACGCATACAAACACACACAGACACACACGCGTGCACACACAGACACACAGAGACACGCACTCTCTCTGGTGCATGTGTGGAGGTCAGAGGGCGGCTTGTGGGACATCATCTCCTTCCATCGTGCGGGTCCCAGGGATGGAACTCTGGCGCCTTTACGCTCTGAGCCTCTGTGTCCCAGGCAGACGCGGGGCCTGCCTGCCCGAGCCTCCTCCCTCACCCTGGCCGAGTGTCTGCAATGCTTTGTGGGAGCCATCTTCTACGTGGGCAAGGGGACCCGTGCCCGGCCGGATGCCCACCTCTGGGAAGCCCTTGGCTACCGTGAGCGGCCAGGCAAGAAGGTGGGGACAAAGGGCGGGGCTGGGCAGCTGTGCCTCCGGAAGCCAGGGCAGAGGGCTTCGGGTCCAGCCTCTGCCTCCACGCCCCAGGCTTGTCCCAAGGTACGCCGGATCCTGGACATCTGGGCCAGCGGCCGCGGGGTCATCTCCCTACACTGCTTCCAGCACGCCGTGGCTGTGGAGGCGTTCACGCGGGAGGCCTGTCTGTTGGATGCCCTAGGTAGGGTCCCGGGGAAGGAATTTGGCTGAATCCCTGTCTCTCCCTCCCTCGCCGCCCATGCTCTCACGCACAGTGGGGGTCACTGAGCCCTGAAGTCTGGCGCGCACGCGCGTGTGTGCACGTGCTCTCCGCGGGTCGTGGGGGGTGGAGCCCAAAGCCTGGCGCGGGTGTGTGCTCGTGCTCTCCGCGGGTTGTGGGGGTCACTGAACCCCGAAGCCTGGCGCACCTGTGTGCACGCGCTCTCCGCGGGTTGTGGGGGTGGAGCCCACTCCTGTGATCCTTCTCCAATCTTTCAGGGATCCAGACACTGACCAACCAGAAACAGGGGCACTACTACGGAGAGGCTGCCTGCTGGCCGCCCACACAGCGCCGGCGTTTGGGGGTGTACCTGCTGCATCGGGCTCTGCTCGTCTTCCTGGCTGAGGGGGAGCGAGAGCTGAGACCTCAGGACATCCAGGCCCGAGGCTGAGCGCCGACGGTGTGACTGAGCATCCCGGGGACAGGTCCCTGGCTGTGGGGTCTGTGTGTGTGTGTGTGTGTGTGTGGTGTCCCCTGCCCCTCTGCATCCCTGTGTGTGCTGTGTGTGTGTGCTGTGTGTGTGTGCTGTGTGTCTGTGTCTACCCCTTTGGTCTGCAAGCGTCCTGGTGGCAGCATGAAGATGTGGCCTGTCCACCCGGTTCTCGCCCTTCTCCATTACCAAGTAGCTGCTCTCCTCTGTGGGCTCCAGGAAAGCCTGCAGCAGGACCTGTGGGTGTACCAGGAAGTCCCTCCTGCTGTCTACTCTTCAGCCCCACCCAGGAGGAGCCCCAGAATGGCTGCTGGAACCTCACCAGGTACTCCTTCACTCAGTGAGCACCCATTAAGCACCTGCAGTGTTCCCTTGGGGTCGGGTCGTTGCTGTGGGGACATGTGTGTGTTGTAGGGTCCTTGGCGGCCTCCTTGGACACGCCCTCAGGATGCCGGGGAAACTCTGCTCTCCTCCCCCAGAAGGCTGACACCTGGGCCACATCAGCTGGAGACCCCCCTGAGGAAGAACATTTCATCTCCAGAGCACCCAGATGACAGCAGTGCCCCTGCAAAAGCCACGCCTGGAAGAACATTCACTGTAGATGGTGCCCACCCAGCCTACCATGAGCCACACCCACTTAACGCAAGCCACATGAGAGCTTGGTGCCAGAAATCATACTCACCTGGAAGCTGTTAGCCTGGGGCGCCCTGCTCACTTGGGTTCACACATTGAGGGCCACGCCCCCAGAACCCACGCCCCCGGGCCCTCCATGCTCCTGGCTGCTGTTTCAACAGGGCAGCTTCAGAATGACAACCCTTCTGCTTCACTCACGTGCTAGCTGAGGTTTGCTTGTGGGTTCCCAGCTCAGAAAAAATTGTTTTTTGATTTTTTTTTTTTTTTTTGCTCACTTTGAGACAGGGTTTCTCTGTGTAGCCTTGGCTGTCCTGGAATTCACTCTGTAGACCAGGAACTCAGTTCCGCCTGCTCCTGCCTCCCAAGTGCTGTGATTAAAGGGGTGCACCATCATGCGTGGCTCTGTCTCAAATTCTTGATGTCACTGGAGCCAGCAAAGGAGAATCAGTCATCAGGTGTCTGAGTGCTGGCCTAGCAGGCAGCAGGCTTTGGGGGTGCAGCGGGTTGGGGGTAGTAGAGGGAAAGGAAAATGGGTATCGTGATATGTGCGTGCCCTTGCCAGCTGGAGTTGCTCAGTAGAACTCAGTCTCAATACAACAGAACACTGGGCTTGTGGTTCGGTGTCCTTAGAAAGGGGCTAGCCAGCCCTGCTGTCAGCTTCCTTAGACAGGTTTCGGGCTGAGTGGTGGTGGCGCACGCCTTTAATCCCAGCACTCTGGAGGCAGAGGCGGGCGGATCTCTGTTTGAGGCCAGCCTGGTCTACAGAGTGAGTTCCAGGACAGCTTCCAAAACAATACAGAGAAACCCTGTCTCAGAAAAAAAAAAAAAGACTTTGGGTAGCTTGCACTGGTGGAACAGGCCTGTGACCCTGGCAGGAAGGTCATGAAAACAAAAAGTCCCCAACTAGGGCTGGAGAGGTGGCTCAGCGGTTAAGAGCACTGACTGTTCTTCCAGAGGTCCTGAGTTCAATTCCCGGCAACCACATGGTGGCTCACAACCACCTTGAATGAAATCTGGTGCCCTGCGCTGGCACGCAGGCAGAAGGCTGTATACACAATAAATAAATAAATTATGGGGAAAAAAGTCCCCAACTGAGGTGACAGGAAGCTACAAGCAGTTTCCACAAGTAGGGAACTTTAAGAAACTGGGAACTGGGTGGCCTCCGGGCCTGCCTATTGGCCTGCCTATCGTAAATCCCACTGACCACAGATTATGTGATCAGAAGCTGGGACCCACGAGCAGCTGCAACATCTTCAGCTACTCCCTTGCCTCGAGAAGACTGGGCATCAGATGGTCTCTTGCCCCACCGTCGTAAAACTAGCCCCTAGCCCACAATGACAGGATGGAACCCCCAGACACCAATGTGCCAGTTAGTTCTACCTAACCAGTGACAGCTACCGCCTTCCTCACGATAACCCTGTGTGGAAACCCTGTGTGCTGAGGAATCTCTGTAACCATGGGAACCTTGCAGACTGAGACTTGCGGTCTCGGGACTCCCCTTCCCTTTCTCTCTTTAAAAGTGCCTTGCATTTGCGGTTGGGGCTTCAACTCTACCGACAGGGCTGAGCCCCAGCCAGCTGACTTTTCCTTCAAAATAAAAACCTTGTGCTTGTATTTGGGTGTCCTAAGCTCCTTGAAGCCTTGGGGTCCTCTCTTAGTGGGCACAATAGGTCAGAAGTTCAAAGCCAGGCTAGCTGTATAGTGTATTCACTGTCTGTCACCTTCAGTTATGACTCAGAGCAAAGAAGGCAAACTCAAGGCCAGGGAGTCGCTGCACTAACTCCATGCTGTGAGCGTGGGTCCCATCATTTCAGCCCCCTCTGTGTGCAGAGCTTCGGGTGAGCTCAGGGCTGCCCCGCAGGGCTTGTGGGATGCATCTGCTGCGGAGGGAGCCCTGCTTGTTTTCCTGGGTGGGGGCAGTGACAGCTGCAGCCTCAGGAGCTAGGATGGGAACCGCAGCAGGGCCCGGCGCCCCAGCTCTGCCTTCAGCGTGTGCACACGCGCGCGCGCCCAGGCCATTCTGTGTCTCCCTCTCCGGTGTGGTGGACTTCATCCGTCCAGCTGGACGGGTGGAGCTTCCAGGGGGGAAGGAAGAGTGTGGGAGGACAGAACATTCCACCGCATCACCAGGTCTTGTCCTGGGGAAGCAAGCAGAGAGGAGCGCCCTCATGTGCCTGCTGCTGTGGGGAGGTAGAGGTTACATCGGCTCGCAGCTGGCGGCTACAGTCTGCGGCTTCAGAGAAATCCAAGCAGAAGCCTTGCTGCCACACCACAGCAACACCGGGAAGGCGGGGTGGTCCGTGCTGCCGGCCGGCTTGTTCATCCTGGGCTAGTTGTTGATGTCCCGGCTTCTCCCTCTCCCCGGGTCCTGGACAACCTGGCCCTGTTCCTGCTCCCGACTCCCGACTCCTCTCCTCCCGCCCCGTCGTTTCTCCTCAGCACCCGCCTGTCACTCGGCACCACCCCTCTCCTGGGCCTGGGCCTCCTCCTTAGGGAACCTTTCCTGGTGGGGGGCCTCTCTAATCCTCGGGCTCTCTCTTCTCCTTGCCCCTGGGTCTATCTTTGACGGATGAGCTCTCCTCTCTGGCTGCATGGCTGTGTCGTGCATCCGTTGCTAAGTGGCTGCATAAGGGCTCTGCATGCACAGCGGGACCAACGGCAGCTCCCTCCGTGACTCCAGTTTCAATGGCCCCAGCTGCTGAGCCTCCTAAACTGCTCCTGTTCCCTTTGTAGTCAGGCGCCTCTCCTGTTCTCTCTTCCCAGTTCTGATTGGCTAACACCCACCCTCCTTCGCTCCCTTTCCCAATAAACTCCACGTGGGTTTGCTGAGTTTGCCCGAAACTGCAGCACAGAACAGGAGTGTGACCCCGGCGGTGGGACCAGGATCTGTGTCCCCAGCGCATGAGCTGGCTCTTTGAAGCTCATTCCAGGTGGTGGGATGCCTTGTTCAGCCTTGGCCCTGCCTCAGCCGAATGTGCCAGGCTTTGCTGACTCCCCGTGGGAGGCCTCACCCTTTCTGAGGAGTGATGGGGGTGTGTTGGGGGAGTGCAGACGGAAGTTCTGTCCAGTCCTGTCCTGCAGCCATTCAGTCCCAAATAAACACACAGAGGCGTACATTAGCTGTTTCCCCCGATTACTCGGGCTCATTACTATCTTACAACTTAAATCAACCCATTATTCTTATCTGTGTTTAGCTATATTGTCTTGGTAGCTTTTCTCATCTTGCATCCTCTGTGTCTGGCTGGAGACTCACTCTCTGCCTTCTTCCCAGAATTCTTATACTTCCTACCTGGCTACTGGCCAATCAGCATTTTATTAAACCAATATGAGTGACAAATCTTTACCGTGAACAAGAGCATTATCGCACATCGGGATGGAGAGGGGGAGGGAAGGGGGACTGTGGGGGTATGTGAAATGAATACAATAAAATATTAAAAAAACAAAACAAGAAAGAGTCTGCTCTGTTGAGCCAGGTGGTGGTGGCAAATACCTTAAGTCTCAGCACAGGCAGGAGGATCTCTGTGAATTCAAGGCCAGCCTGGTCTACAGAGTGAGGTCCAGGACAGCCAGGGCTAAACAGGAAACCCGTCTTCAAAAACCAAAAGGGGGAAAAATCTGTTCTGTGGGCTGGGGGAATGGCTCTGAGGTTAAGAGTACCAGCTGCTCTTGCGGAGGACCGGGTTTGGTTCTCTGTACACTGGTGGCTTGCAGTCATCAGTAACTCCAGTTCCAGAGGACCTGTCACCATCTTTGAACCTCCACAAGCAACTACAGTCATGTGCACATACAATTAAAAATAAAAATTGCTGGGTTTGGGACTGTCCTAGGGTTTTTATTGCCATGAAGGGACACCATGACCATGGCAACCCTTATAGGGAAAATGTTTGATTGAGGAGGCTGAGATTCAATCCATTGTCACCATGATGATGAGCAGGCAGATGAGGCTCTGGAGCTGAGAGCGCTACATTTGCAGGCAACAGGAAGTTGACTGAGACACTGAGCACAGGAAACCTCAAAGCCCGCCCCCACAGTGACACACTTCCTCCCACAAGGCCACATGTCCTAATAATGCCATTCCACATGGGATTATGGGGGTCAATTACATTCAAACTACCACAGTGGCACGCCTCTTTAATTTTAGCACTTGGAAGGTAAAGGCAGTCAGATCTCCAAGTTCGATCCAAGGTCAGCCTGGTTTACATAGTCCAGTCCTGTCTCAAATAAATGCTGGCCCCTTCTGGTCATTCTGGCCACTGGGTGGCTAAGGTACAAGGACCAATTTGGAGGCCACCTTGGGCTACTCAATGAGAGTCCAGTTGGCACCTTCACATTTGTTTTCCAAGATAGGGTTTCTGTGTGAAGCCTCGAACTCACAGAGATCCGCCTGCCTCTGCCTCCCGAGTGCTGGGATTAAAGGTGCGCCACCAACGCCAGCGGTCTTCTGTTGTTTGCTTTTAGTTTTGTGGGGGGGGGTTTGCCTGCAAGTCAGTCTGTACCTCGTGTATGCAGTGCCCATGGGGGCAAAAGAAGCTGTCAGGTGCCTGGAGCTGCAGTCACAGCACTGCTAGTCACTCAGCCGCCTCTGCAGGCACAGCATCTGTTTGTTTATTTATTTATTTTATTATTTTAATTTTTTTTGTTTTTCGAGACAGGGTTTCTCTGTGGCTTTGGAGGCTGTCCTGGAACTCGCTCTGTAGACCAGGCTGGCCTCGAACTCACAGAGATCCACCTGCCTCTGCCTCCCAAGTCTGGGGATTAAAGGCGTGCGCCACCAACGCCCGGCTTATTTTAATTTTAAATAGCTTGTTTTACATGTCAATCCCAGTTCCCTCTCTCTCCCCTCCTCCCCCACTCCCCCGCCACCCCCCCCCAGCCTCCCATCCTATCGCCAATTCCTTCCTCATAAGGGATATCTAGAGTCTGTCGTTTCACTCAGGGCAGGGTCCAGGCACTCCTCTAGAGTCCAGGCTGAGAGAGCATCCCTCTTTGTGTTATGGACACACAAAGTCCGTTTGTATGCCAGGGATAAACACTGATCCACTGCCCAGGGCCCCATAGGTTGCCCAGGCCTCCTCACTGACTCTCACACTCAGGGGGTCTGGATCAGTCCCATACTGGCCTCCCAGATGTCAGACTGGGGTCCAAGAGCAGTATCTGGTTTTTAAAAGCCAACTTGGGCTGGGCGGTGGTGGTGCACACCTTTAATCCCAGTACTGGGGAGACAGAGGCAGGGGATCTCTGTGAGTTCGAGGCCAGCCTGGTCTACAGAGTGAGTTCCAGGACAGTGCAAAACAATACAGAGAAACCCTGTCTTGAAAAACCAAATCAAAACAAAACAAAAGCCAACTTGGACTCTATTTGAGATTTTGGTAGGAAAATTGAATGGTCACCCAGCATCCTTTGGTGGCCTTCAGGTGTCTTAAAAGGCAATTATTACTGTGGCTTGTGTAAGAGTAAGAGATCTCCCATAGTGCCTCTCAGGGGCTTTTCTGACCCCCCACGGAGGTCACTGAGGCCATCCCACTCCTGACAGAAGGAACCCCGCCTGTGTAGGCCCTTCCAGCAAACACAATGCCTGGATTTTGTTTTCTTTCATTTTTCTTAAAGTCTGAGACAAGATTTCAGACACCACAGGCCAGCCAGCCTCAGAACTCACTGTTCTGATGACTGTGATCTTGTGACCCCCCTGCCTCCACCTTGAGCTATGGATGACGCACAGGCACCACCGGGCCCAGTTTCATTTATGGAACGCTAACGGTTGCAGCAGGGCTTTCTGCATGCTAGGATATAAGTACTGTGTCCATTGAGCTGCAAGCACCCTACCCACTGAGCTACCACACCCTACCCACTGAGCTACCACACCCTACCCACTGAGCTACCACACCCTACCTGTGACCCCCGGAGGGGACCCCCAACCCGCGGGGATGAAGTGATGAGGGTCGCTACTAATTCGGTGAGTCTTCACGAGCAGATCCGATCTTAAAAAGCAAACTTCAAGAGGTTAAGAGAAACAGGCTCAGGACAACTTTTGCTGATCAAGAGCGTTTATTCTTGGGGGTGAAATAGCTTTTATAGGTAGAGCAACTCAGGGGGCGGTACAAGCATGTCATTCAAGTCTCAACTCAAATATACACCAAATAAGGTAAAGATGAAGCTGTAATTTTCCGTCAATTGCATTCCACAAATGCTTGTCAGTGTAAGCCAGGTGCAGGAATTAGGGAGGGGTAAAAAGCATTCAAAGGAACACATTAACCTTTTGTTAACAAAGACAATTGCTCTATAAGGGTTACTTCCGCCTATCATTATGGTAAAAGCATCCAAAGGAACACATTAACCTTTTGCCAACAAAGGCAATTGTTCTATAAGGGTTACTTCCCCCTGACTAGGTGGTTGGGCTGCCCTGTGTCAATTTAACTTTCGTGGTTAGCTATTTCCTTTGTTTCAAGGGCATGTGTTCCTGCAGTCACATAAGCAGTAGGCCAAGAAATGGCTGACAGACTCCATTTTGTTCAAGGTTCTTAGCAGTCCCCAACACCTACCCACTGACAGATCCCTGACAAATGGTGTCAATAGATTTATTACTTCAAAATACTGAGTGGTGCT